CCGCCCTGCCCGGCGAGAGCACCCCCCCCCCCCAGTCTGCCGGTCGCCTTCCGCCAGCCTTGTTTGCCCCTCGGGATAATGTGGGAGCTGGCCAACAGCCGGATTCCCGGGTCAGCGGCGCCAACTAGATCCTAGTTCCAGCCTGGGACCGGGGGGGGGGGGGCTGGGGGGCGGCAGCGGCGGCTGGCCCTCCCCAAGGCCGGGGGGGGGGGGGGGGCCGTGGAGCACACCAGTGCGGCCTTGGACAGCTTGCCGTCTGCGGGCGCGTGCGCCCGGCCGGCCGGCCTTCTGATTGCGTCCCCCGGGGGGGAAGGGCCGGGGAAAGGGGGAAAACAAACACACCGGCCGCCTGGCTGGCCGGGGCCGAGAAGGGGAGGGGATCGGGCACAGATCCACAGGCGCGGGGGGGGGGGGGGCAAGGCAGGCCCGGATCGGGGTCGGCCGATTACTCATGGGGGCGCATCGGGCAACCGCCCGGCGTGGTGCCCTCCTCCGGCGCGAGTCGGCGGGGCCTCTCCCCCCCCCCCCCCCCCCGTGTCCCCCATGCGCGGCGGCATCGGTTGCCGGGTAGCGTGGAGGGGGGGGGCGGGCGGCCGGCCGGCCAGCCGGGCGGACTCGGAGACGTCTGTTAACACTTCGGGGGAATCGCCGCCCGGCGCCGGGCGGCTCTGCGGGCCCGGCTTGCCGGCGAATCGGCCGGCGAATCGGCCGGGGGCGTGGCCGATCGGCCGGTGCCGGCCCAAGACCGGCTCTATTAATCTGCCGATGTCCCCGGGCCCGCCGCCCCCGGGCGGCTGTGGAGGGCGAATGCGTTAAGGGCGCATCCGTGCCGCCGGCGCTCCTCGCCCCGCCCCCCCTCCCCCGCGCTCGCGCCGGGCCGGCTCCCGTCCGGGGCCGGCAGGGAGCACAGGGAGATGGACCGGAGAGCGCGCCCCGGGCCCCCGGGCCGCGGCCGCGCAGCACAGGGCGCAGGGGCGGAAGGGCCCCGCGCGTGTCGCCGGGGCGCCAACAGTGGGCGGAGCTCCGCCGGGCCCGGCGCCGCTCCGCCCCGGGCGGCCATCGGCGCACCGCGGGCGGAGGGGGGCGGGGGCGGGGGATGGGGAGCTCAGGGGCCCGGGGTGCACCCGACTAGGGGGCCGCCGGCGCCCGGGTGCACTCTGGGGCGAACTTTTGGCGTGGCTCCCGCGGCGGCCCCAGCCCGAGCGTGCTTATTCCGGCGCGCCTCCTCCCCACACACCCAGTCCGCCCGCCACGCCGGGCAGCCGGCTCCCCGGGTCGCCCCCCCCCCCCCGGCCCCCCGCCCCCCCGGGCCCCCCCCCCCCCCCCCCCCGACCGTGTCTGGGGGCAACGGGCCCGGGCCCCTTCCGGCAGGGCCCACACAGAAGGGGCCAGCCCAGACCAACGGGGCTCTGAGGGTCGGGCGCGCAGACGATCGGCCCACCTTCTTTCGACGGGCGCGCGCGCGCGCCGGGCATACAGACGCGCGCGCGGGGGGGGCGCACGCGCGCCGGGCCGGTCGGGGCAGGTTATTGCAGCCGCCGGCCAATGGGCGATTCTGTAAAGCCAGATCCTCCCGGGCCACCAAACGCGGCCTAGCCCCCCCCCCCCCCGGCCCCCCGGCCCCCGGCAGGGCAGGGATGCGTGTGTGTTTCCGGTGCCCGTGCCCTGCACCGGACTGGTCTTGGGACTCGGAGGAGGGGGCGGGCGCGGCGGGAACTGCTCTCCCCCGCGGCTCCGGCTGACCGGCCCGGGGTGGAGCGCGCCGGAGGGCCGGCTCCGCCACCGCCCCTGGGCATGCGTGCCGGGACACACCGGCGGCCGGGCAAAGGGCGGCTGCGTCCGATGGCCGCCTGCGCCCGCCGCCCCCCCCGCGCGTGTCGCCTCGCCAGCGACGTCCACATGCAACAAAAGGATGCCGCCACCAAGCGCCCCCCCCCCTCGCCAAGCGCAGGACACCCCGGCTCGGGCGCGCCCCGGTCCCGCTGCGCGCCGGCCGTCGGCCGCCGCCTCTCACGCCTGGCGGCGACGCGGCCGGCCGCAGATCGGCCAGGGTTGCCGCTTGGTTTGGGCCCAATTCCCGGGGAGGGGCCAAGGCGCCATGGCCCCGCCGGGCATGGCCTCCCGACCCCCACCCCCCCCCCGGGGGGGGGGTGGGGGGGGGGGGCAGGGAGGCCGCCAGCCGGGCACATACACCCGCCCGCACGGGAGGCCGCATTCCCGACATCGCGCGCCTGACCTGCCTGGCGGGGTCAGATGCTTGCGCCGGGTTCACCCCGTGCGCCGGGGGTCCTGCGCACGGACACTGCTCCATCGGCAGATGGGTGGCTGTTTCGAGGGCCCCGCAACTTTCTCACACTCCCGGCGCTCCGCGGCCCCGGGGGCATGGCGCCGGCGTTCTGAATTAAGTGCGCTCTGCGCCCCAGAGGCGCCGGCGCACCACTGGTCCGTCGGCAGGAGGCCCCGTTTGCCGGCAGTCGGCCCCCTGGCGCGCGTGCCGCCGCGCGCGTCGCAGCGGCCCTGCCCGCACCCCGCGCCCCGGGCGGCGGCGGCGGTGCCCCACAGGCCGGGGGGAGGCACAGGAACAAAAAAAAAGCAAGAGGGGACACACAGAAGAGCAGCCATCCGGTGTATTGGACAGTCTCCCCAGGGGAGGGGGGACGGAGAAAAAAAAACAAACAAGCTGGCAGACCGAGGAGGGGGGCCGCGTACGCGCCGCGGTCCGTGCCGGCCTCTAGCCACGGCGGCACTCGCGGCGGTGCACGGGTGTGCCGCCGTGTTGGCGGCCCGCGCGCGCGCCTCGGGGCGCCGCCCCCCTGTGCACGCCCCCCTCCCCGCCGCCATGGGGCCTCTCATCAGAAGAGCTCGGCAATGGTGCAGCGAGCGCTGCCGCCGCCGATGCGCTCCAGATTGCCGAGGTCCGCGGCCACAATGCCGCCGGGGCAGTGCTTCTCAATGGTCTGGATCTGCTCCGGGGTGAAGGCCGCCCGGGCGCGAGCGCTCATCACCATGACCGGCAGCCCGGTGGCCGACTCGACCTCCAGCACATTGCCGCACATCTCCTGCACCTGCTGCCGGGTAATGTCGACCACCTCGTGGCCGGTGGCCGCGAAGGACTGGCGCAGGGCCTCGGCATTGTCCACCGACTCCAGGCACACCACGGCCACCGAGGTGCCGACCGCCATCATGACATTCGTGTGGTAGATGGTGCGGTTGTTGATGTCGGTGGCGGTGAAGACCACGGCCCGGTAGCCCAGGCGCTCGGCCCACTGGGCGGCGAGCTCCGGCTGGGCGCGCTCCGACGCGGCAACGTAGGCCACCCGGTTGACACGGTCCAGCACCAGCACACCGGTGCCCTCGAGGGCCTGGCCGGCGGTCTCGGGGGCCGACATGTCGATGGTCTCCTGGTAGCCGAGGCTGTGTGTGTGTGTGTGTCGGGGGGGGGGGGGGGGCGGGGCGACAAGAAGAGCACGAGGAAAGGAGGAGCGCGAGGGGAGCCACGCATTGGGGAGGCGCGCGCCGGGGAGACAAGAAAGGCAAACACAAAGGCAACGGTCGGTCAGGGGCATGCATGCAGGGGCGCGGGCGGCGCATGGAGGGGCGACCGGCAAACCGGCAGGCCGGAAGCCGCGGGAAGCCCATCGGGCAGCCGGGCACCGGCACGCACTTCGACAGCAGAGCCACCAGATCGGGGCGACGCTCACGGCGGCGGTTCTCGCACTTCATCGGGTACAGGACCTTGAGCTTGCTGTTGCCGACGCTGTCCGAGGTGGCCCCGGCCTCGGCCCCGGGACGGACAATGTGCGTGGAGAACCAGTTGTTCGGGAAGCAGGCATCCGGGGTGTCATGCACATACGAGTGGCTGGCCAGGACGACGGACACGCCATGGGCCTCCATCTCGGCCACGAGGCCGGCATGCTCGCGCAGGACAAACTCACTGCCATCGGAGGCCGCGGCCGCCGGGGTCGCCGCGGGGTTCTCTCCGGCCGCGGCCGCGGCCATGAAGTAGTTGTCCTGGGCCGCCTCGGCGTTGGAGGTGAAGGCCGATGGGGCGACCATCAGCACGCGGTTGGAGGACTGCTTGCCGCGGAAGCCGGCCACCCAGGCGGCCGGGTCGGCGGCCAGCACATCCACCGGGCAGACGGCCAGCACGGCCGACGCGCTGGACCGGGCCGCACGTCGGCCGAAGGAGCTCGAGCCCCCGGGGCAGGGGGTCTGGAAGGTGCGCAGGAAGCTCGGCAGGCTGAGATCCGAGCAGACCAGCCCGAAGGGGGCCTCGGCGGCCGAGCGCTCGTACACGTCCACGCGGCGGATCCGGTGGGCCGGGGTGAAGGAGTCCTGAGCACATAGTGGTCACACCGGGTGGGAGGGGGTCAGCATCTGTGTGTGCGTGTGTGTGTGTGCGCGCGTGCGTGTGTGTGCGCGCGCGTGCGTGCGTGCGTGCGTGCGTGTGTGTGTGTGCGCGTGTGTGTGTGTGTGTGTGCG